GGATTGGGATTGGAATAAAACAGTTTGCTTGTTTTGTAATTGGGCATTCTACAAGAACCTATTAAAATGCCTTTTTTAATCAAGGCAGTGTTCGATACTGTGGATTTATAAAGAGTAATCCGACAGAGATTCTACCTGAAAGAAGGACACAGCTCAGCAATTAAGCTCACAGCCTAGAATTAGCTAAAGTACCAGCAAATGTAGAATCATAGTTTGCTGTCTTTCATCAGGTTTCAGCAATCTATCCAAATTAATATAGGAAGCTAAAATTCATCCCATTCTTCCCAGGTCACATTTTCCCAGCCCTGACTCCTCCTTAACCTCTCTCCTCCTCTGTCAGATTTTACTTTTTTCCAATGTGAATTTTTTTGTGAGAATTTTCTAGTAGAGTGCTTTTTGGGCCTCTCAATGAGTTTAAAAATATATTTAAAAAATTGAGTGTTAGCATAAGATTTGACCATAGCTGTGCTCACAGTGTCACAAAGATGGACTCTTAGGTGAGATAATAGGAAGAAGAGAAGATAAATTAAAAAGTGGAAGAAAATGTTTTAATCATTGGAATAGAAGGATAACTCCAAATTGTGCGATGTGTGGCCATGAGAATTTTCTCGTTTCTTGCATGTTTTCTTTTGTATTCTCTTCTCCCACTTGCCCTCCCCACTTTGATGCTGGTAATTGGAACCCAGGACCTCTTACATGCTAAGCAAATACTGTACCACTGAGCTATACCCCAGCCCCTCCCTCCCTCTTTTAATTCTACTCTTCTGTTTTTGCCACTGAAATATTTGTATATTATCCATGTATGTTAGTCTCTCAATGATTAACATTCTGTTATCTTGTCTTTCTTTTCCAGGTGCTCTGTAATGAATGTGTGCTTCCACAACTTTTTATTGGCAGGATAGACTTTTGTTTAGGGTGAGAGGTTTGTTGTAATATTTTCTGTGTTCATTATTGATTACTCATTAGCTCTTGCTTTGTTCTGCATTGCTACCTGGCATAACCAGAAATTAACTTAATTTGGAGTTTTCAGCAAGGAGACACATTCCCCTACTCTATTCCCAATTAAAATGGGGCGGGGGGAGGAGTGCTCTGGTGGAGAAGCTTGTTTTTTAAACAGTGTAGTTTTGAGAAGGTTGCAATAATGTGATAAGGTTGGGAGGCAGACATTGATCTAACTCAGACTGGTGAGTCACACCTGTCATCAGTGGAATGTAGACATATTAGATGTTTTAAACCAGACTACCATTTCTTCTTATTCATTGACTAGATAATCATAAATAGGTTTATACTTCTGTTAGATGACAGTTTGAATGTGGATATAAGATAGGAAATTTGGTTTTGTTATTGTTAGATATTCAGAATATTTGAAAATATTGGGTTCGAATATTTTTCAGGTTTTATTTTGAAGTAGTTTAAGTTATAGAAAGTTATAATAATAATATAAATAATTGCTACATACCAGAGTAAGATGCACCATTGTTGACATTTTACCATTTGTTCTGTCATTCACTGTCAGATTGTTTTTTTCTGAACCATTTGAGAATAAGTTACACGCATCATATCCCTTTACTATGTAAAAGTAATACTCCAATTTTAGATTTTTTCATATTAATGAAAAAGATTAAACTTTATTAATTAAAGCATTAGATCAGTGTTACATTCTGAACAAAGCAGTAACAAAGTGCAATACAAGCTAAAGTTAGTTAAATGTAATCCTCAAGAAAAATGCAAATACCAATAGTTAAAATGTACTCCTCAAGAAAATATTTTTTCCCCCCAGTGCTGGGGATGGAACCAACGGCCTCTGCATGATAGGTAGTCAACAAACAGATTCTAAGAACAAGGACATTCTCTTATACAACAATATTATCTTATCAAATTAAGGAAATGTAAACTGATGTTATCCAGTGAGGATTTCACTAGTTTTCCCAATAATGTTATTTAATAAAACTTTTTTTCAGTCCAACTTGGGATCATTCATTGCTTTTAGTTGTCACATCTCTTTACTGTTCTTTAATCAGGAATATTTCCTCAGTCTTTCTGAGTTTTTAATGACATTGACACTTTTAAAGAGAGTGATAAACCACTTATTTGTAGAATTTCCTCAATTTGGTTTCATCAATGTGTTCATGACTAAATTTAGGAAATGTAGTTCTGACAGGAATATTACGTTGTAAGTGTTTGCTTCTCACTGTATCCTATTAGGAGGCACATTTCCTCTTGTCTCATTATCAGTTAATACTAAATTTGATCTGGTCAATGTGATATCTGCAAGTTCCTCCACTTAAAAGTTATTTTTCTTTTTGCGATCAGTAATTTGTGGAGAGGTACTTTGAGACTTGACATTTATCAATCCTCATCAAACTTTCATCCACAAAGTATTTAACACACTTTGGTAATTTTGCCTGAATCAGTTATTACTCTGATGGTATTAATTCAGATATTCCATTGCACAAGCTTCATAGTACTATAGGCAGTAACCTGTTCCTTTTGTTGTATTCCTTAGCATTAGGAAGTGTTGAGTATTTAACCAGAATACATTATTTTGGGTTTGTTTGACAGCTTTATTGAGATACAATTCAGATAGCTCATGTAAGTTCCTTTGTTTGTTTATTTATTTGTTTATTTAGCACTGCAAATTAAACTCAGGGGTGCTCGTCCACTGAGCTACAATTCCAGCACTTTTTATTTTTTATTTTGACACCAGGTATCCCTAAGTTGCCCAGGATAACATCATACTTGCTGTCCTCCTGCCTCAACTTCCCAAGTAGCTGGGATTACAGGTGTGCATCACCATGCCTGGCTATAATTCCGTTGAGAACTCTTGTGGCATGTGAAATAAACCAGCTTTTCTTTTCCTTCTTTAACATCTCTTTAAAATATGTCCCTTTGCCTTTTCTCTATATCACTCATATTTCATGAAGTTGTTTTTAATAAGAGATGGCTTTTCTGAATTTATAACCATTCTGTTATAAAACACTCAGTTATCAGTTTCATATTTAGCATCTGATACCCTATTCCACATACTAATTCTAGATGTGATTTGATCTATCAATACAACAGATCACTATTTGCCTATAATCTAGCTTGATGCTAAAGTGTGCAGGTTTTAAAGATACATAGATCTGGCCAGGTCCCAACTATGTCACTTAACTAGCTCTGTGAACAAACTCTTCACAGTTTGATAATCTGTAAAGAGTTGGTAATTATACCAACTGCTTTTTAGGTGGAGTAAGGATTAAGTGTTCATGTAATTCTTTATATGAAAGATATTATATCAAGTTAACAACTTTTATGAGATGTTGAGTTCTTAAATCTTTTGTTTATATTTGCACAATTTGAGTAGATTATAAAGAAATGTTTGTTATTTTGAATAAACTCTAAAACATTTGGTTACTTTTATAGCACAGCACATGTGTAGTATTTTCAGCATTCAATAATACTTTTTAATTATTGAAATTAGAGTGTTTAGATGCTATTTTTCCTAGTGTTTTTTTAAACCATGTTGCTAGTATAAACAGTACATTTACTATGTTCACAAAATCTTAAAGCTTTTCCCAAAATTTACTATAGAAATTAAGGTCAATATAAACACACATGTCGAAGTCAATGTACATGTAGGGGAAAAGATATTATATGGTTTTTCTAGGACATTTTTATTGAAGTATACATGTATCTCCTAAAGTTTACTTACAATTGTAGGGAAAAATACAGGTGAAAAAGAAAAACTGTTGAAACATCTAAGACGAAAATTCTTGTCTGTAGCTTTCTGATGCAGTTAATTTTGCACTAAAGTTTACATATAGTAATAGTGCTAAAATATTATTTAAAAATTAAATTGGCTAAGAATATAAACATTAAGGCTATTAAGAATAACCCATGACAAATTTTTAAATGGCATCTCATTTTTATTGGGGAGTATAACTTAAAAAAAAAAAGTGAATCCTTTAAGTTAATTAAAATCATTTTACAGTTTACTTTGGAAGTATGGACTATCATTGTGACTGTATAATATGTATTTGTTAATGGCAAAGAGAAATTATTTACTTGTGTATTTAGTTATTTGTTTGGTACTGGAAATTAAACCCAGGAGTGTTTTATCATTGAATTACATTCCCAGCCCTTTTTATTTTTTATTTTGAGAAGGTCTCACTAAGTTACTTAGGGCCCCTCTTAGTTGCTAAAGCTGGCCTCAAACTTACGATCCTTCTGCCTCAGCCTCCTGAGTTGCTGGAGTTACTGGCATGTACCACCACACCAGGCTAGAAATAAAGATTTTTATCCTATTGATACTTAAATGTATTTTGTGTATGTGGTTCTGGGGATTGAACATGCTAAGCAAATGTTCTACCATTGAGCTTCGTCCCTAACCCTTACTTCCTAGTATTTAAATCTTTGGGGGTTTTTTTTGTTTATGATTTATTTTGAAAGTTCACTTTGATTAGGATAAATATTTCTTATGGAAATGTTTATTTTTAGAGAACCCTTCTACCACTTGATTAATCTGAAGCAATAATAGTACTATAGAAATTTGAATTTGTGGGGAAACGTACTTTTATAAAGCTTTATGGTAGATATGAAAAATATAGCTTCTTCTGTTAGGAGATATAATAGGGTTATACTTGGGACACTGAGACACTCTACTGTTTATAAAGGTGTTATTAATTTTGTTGCTAATTATTCTTTAAAAAACTAGCTAAGGTTTAGGAATATAGAAAAATGTCTAGTTTTACTTTGTGTGCAAATGATTATAAGAAAAGCTCCTTGCCTACCAACCCTGTGGCTGGATATAAAAAAAAATCCATGGGTTAAAGTTATATTTGTTACATTTTTACATTAGTGTCAAATACCAAATGGAATGTTTTATTTTTTCATTTTAACTCATCCATTTTTATATAGCTTTAATAATGAAAACACTCCTTAAGATTTTAGATGATTAAAATGTGGTACCTGATAAATTTCAACTGTCTCAATTCTGTTTCATGTTAAATGTGTTACAGGAATGAATCTGAAGTCTGCTGCAGTAAAACACTGAAGGCTTTAAAATGTTTTCTTGCATAAAACTCAAACTTTAAGTAGCTGCTTATGAGAATAGGGAAGGCAGGAAGCTAATGTCTGTCTCAAGATACAGGACAGCTGTTTGCTCATCAACCTCAACTGTGTGAGTAGAGAATTAAGCCTGTAACCATGTAACTGGGCATAGAACTTAATTTTTTTAAAATCTGAAGTGCTTGAAGATAAATACTTAAGTCAGCATAAGACATTTTTATAGGTCCATTTTTTTTCTGGTGGGCAGGTTACTAAGGGTGGGGTGGGTGGTAGATTTTTATTTGTAAATTATTTTTTGTGTATATGCAACTAATGTAATTAGTGACCATGCATCTTTTTCAAAATTATTCTAAGCATTGAAACCTATATTATTAATTTTAGCAGAAGATTATCATTCTTTGGATTGCTGTTTTTATCCTTTTTTTTTTTTTTTTTTTTTAACCAGGGGCACTCTACCTCTGCCACTTAGCTATCCCCAACTCTTTTTATTTTTTTATTTTTGAGACAGGGCCTTGCTAAGTTGCCTAGGCTTGGCTGTATCCTTCTGCTTCAGCCTCTTAAGTAGCAGGGATGGGTGTGTATAAGTATTCATGGATGATTTAAGCCTTTCCAAATGAGTATTTTGACCAGCCAACCATAAAGATATATTTTAGGAATATGAAGTTTGATGTTAATGCAGAAAATTCTTCCTGAAAATAATTTAATAATACAATCAGAGAGAACATATACTTCAAAATAAAGGAACTCTTGTTCCCTAAATGCAATTGAAAGTTTTTTAAACTTGACAATTTTTACTTTTAAAAGTACTTTAAATAATATAAATCCTTATTGAAGAAATAGAGGGAAAAATTTTTTCTTTATTACTAAAAGCTATCATCTCAAGAATCCATTTGGGAAGGTGTCCAGGTTTCTCTACCTTTTTTTTTTTTTTTTCTTCTTCCTGGACTTTAGGAATGAGACTCTAAATTGAATTCCATTCCCCTTTAGAGCAGTGCATGGTCTATACAGATGAAATTTTTTTTTTTTTAAATGTTGTATTAAGCAGAATGATGAGCATGTAAATAATAATTTACAAGATTTTGTTAACTGTTTAGTGAGGCATGGAGTAGAAGGGATGTTATTTGCATGGTGCATTTACACTTAAGTGAAACTCATCTTTACTATCACAAACTTTATCTTTAATATCACAAATGTGTCAACTGAAAGAAAATAAAAACAGATGCTCTTTAGAATCACTGAATGAGAAGACATTTAGATGCATATTAAGAATGTACATAAAATATTGATGTTTTATGAAAGTAGTCAAAGGGTATGTGGCAGCTGCATTGAAAAAGTCAAAGGTTTCTGTTTACCCCATCTTTGCCTCTCTGGATTGGTCAGTAGATACACAATACTATGTGAGTCTCCAGAGGTTATTTAGTTCCTAATCTTTCTGTAACCCTAAAAAAGAAATATTGTAATCTTCTTGTTTAATGATGGCAGGCCTCACTTTAATGAAGTTTTTTAAGGTCTGTAATATGAGATTTAACTCTCTGTTCACAGACATTTGGCATTTCACTTGTAAAGCCAAGTTTAATTTTGTGCTGCTGTTTTGCTTATAGTACTTACCAGTATTCTTCCCTCTCTTTTTTAAATAGTGTCAAAAATAAATAAAATTCAAGGTGAAAGAAGCCTTTGGAACATATTCATGAAACTTTGATTTTAAAATGAGATTAGACAGGATATACAATGGAAAAGTGAAAAGCTTTTATAGCTTTGGGACATTTGGGAGAAAATTGTATGATAGTAAATTGGTACCAAATTTCCCTTTTCTCTTTTTATCTCTTTTGAGATGATTCCTGTGTTCTATATTACTCTTCTATCAAGGGTGTGGAGGAAAATGCTATGAAGTAGTTAACTGGGATAGAAGTACATGTGAGAGTGTGTGAGCACGAATATGTAAAACTCTTCCACTTTGACCCCTCTTGTCCTGTCCTACCGTGTACCTTAACACATAACTTAGACTTCTCATCCCTGGGCCCATTTCTATGACAGAATTTTACCTGTTTTTATAAATGAATTTTAGCTTCTTTTTCTGTTGTTTCTGCAGGATGACTAAAATGGAGTTCCTAAGCTGTGGTAAAGCTCAGGACATGGTTAAGTCAGGCTGCCTGGTTTCGGACCCTAGGTGTTCCTTTTAACAGCCAGATGATATTGAGCAAATCATGTAAAACTTACTGTGCCTCAGTTTTCTCATCTGTAAAATAAATACAGTAATAATTTACTACCTGATAGGGTTGTTGTAAACTTGTAAGCATCAACACTTACAAACTATGATTAATATTGTTAAACCTATTTTCTTTTAAGAGGAGGAATACTAGATTGCATTTTATAAATCCTCAAAGCAACAGATTATAATTAAGGCTTCAGGATTAAGAATCTGGAAATCACAAAGTAGGGTATTTTCAATTAAAGCATCTTGAGAAACTTCCTCAGCACAGTAGAAATTTTACTCCTCTGCACTCCTAATCTCTATTTGATACATGCATTAGTCCTATTTCACATCCTCCCTAGCCATGGGTGGCTAAATGGCTACTGTGTTGGACACTAGATAAAGTATATACATTAAGCATGATGTTTCTGTTTGTCTGGAACATGAAAAATGGACTCTTGTATTGGCTCTAACTCAATAAAAGAAGAGAAAGGGAAGCAAAAGTACTTTCTTCAGGAATTTTGGAGAAAGTTAGGTCTATTTTCTCTGGGTTTTAATAAAGTGATTTTTAGGCAGTTTGTAAAATTCATTGTAATGTAGTTAAAGTTATTTTAAGTAAAGTATTATTAACAGATAAGTTAAACAATATTGCATGTATTGATATCTGTCAGTGACTGCTTTTTGTATTAAAGTGAGCAGTCTGTGTGCTTTATGAAAATAAAAATTGTAATATTTAGATGTCAGAGTTCTTCCTAATCTAGAAATACCTTTGAAAGTTGGTCATGTTTTATGTGATGTATTAGAATCTTTCTAGAAGGCTGAAATTTCAGTTAGAGGTCGTAATTGTAAGAGAATCTTAACTGTTTTGAATGATCCCATTAAGGGCTAAAAGTAGTCAATTTCACCATGATAATTCACTTTATGTTTAGAACTTTGTACATATTAAGGAAGTTACCAAGGGTAGAAACATGGTCTTACGTTCTCGAAGAAATTGCTGTTTACTAGATTTTAATCAGGAACCAGAACATATGGGAACAGAAATCCATTTTACCTGAAGAAAGAAAAAGGGAGAGTTATTAAAAAGAGTTATGTGTCTGGAATTCTGTCTTTTCCCTGCCCCAGTCCCTGATTGTAGGTTGCTTCATTGGGGCAGGTATTCACTAGGTCTAATTAACTTTTCTAGAGGGATTATCTCTGGTTCCAGAAGGACATCAAGAGCAAATAGGGTTGTTGTAAACTTGAGTAAGCATCAACACTTACAAACTTCTAACGGATTGTATTAGAAGGGAATGTTAGCAAGGAGGCAATGAGTAATTTTAACTTCTTAAGTTGTTAAAAAGAGGGGTGTGTGTGTGTGTGTGTGTGTGTGTGTGTGTGTGAGAGAGAGAGAGAGAGAGAGAGAGAATATGACCACTCTCCTATAGACTTGGTAAGGGTTTAGTTTATAATAATAATGATGAATTGACATTTTCAACGAGTGCTTACTAATATATATAATTGTGTAGTATCCTGATCCTATTTTTTAATTTAGGGGAAAAGTGAAGAATTTAGTGAGATAAATTAGTGATCTTTGGGTACTCAAGAGTATCTCAGTTCAGAGGTGGGGTGGCTGCTTTAGTCACTGACCTAGTGACCTTGTTGTATTCTAAAAGGTTCATGAAAATATATGGACTCTACTTTAAGACTGGCTTACTGTTAATTGTTACGGGTGTGCTCTTTCTTTGGGGATTTCAGGGGTTGTGGGGGACTGGTGATTGAACTCAGGAACACTTGACCACTGAGCCAAATCCCTAGCCCTGTTTTGTATTTTATTTACAGACAGGGTCTCATTGAGTTGCTTAACACCTTGCCATTGCTAAGGCTGGCTTTGAACTCAATCCTCCTGTCTCAGTCTCCTGAGCCACTGGGATTACAAGTGTGCACCACTGCACCCGGCATGGATTTGCTCTTAATCAAGGACTTAAAATAGAGTTTGAATTTTGAACTTGTTTCAAATTAAATCTCTTATGGAAAGTTGGTTTGTGAAAATACTAAAAACGAATGTATTACTTGAAGCAGAGATTTGTGGCCCAGTTTACCCAGTTCCCCACCCCCCCTTTATGAAGGATTGCCTAAATGATGTATGTAAGTGTGTGCATATCCTTAGATGCTTTAAGATTTTATTTGTAAGTCTTGCTCCTTGTAAAGTGTTACCTGAAGTTGGCCATGATACTGTTGGTTTATATAGAAAAGTGGATCCAGAAACAACACTAGAAATTTATATTTTACCTTGCAGATATTGTAGACCATATCCATATTGTATTCTACCAATGAACACTTAGGTGAAGTGTTGTTCTGCTACTTAGGTCAAGATTTAATTGTATTCCTCCTAAATAATTGATTTTGTTGTTCTTAGAATATTGTGCCTTCTAACCAGTCATATCTGTCTTTGTGTTAGATGCTAAGAGGAATAACGTCAGCTGAATAGCTTCTAATTATCAAATAGGCCCCTATGGGCATATTACATTTTGCTTATTGACAATATTTCTAATATCTTTTTTACCATTTTCCCTTGGATTGACCATTTTTACTGACTTTTGATGTTGTCATGCAGCATGCATTTTAAAGTCACTTTGAATTCTTTGCAGAACAATATGAGGTATATAAAAATGATAGTATGTTGTAGAGGCACTTGTTGAGCTCTTCTTCCTGTTTTAGGTGATGGGATTTCCTCTTGCCTGCAGGTTTAAATGTAGAATCCTTATCATGGATACTAAACTTTCATGATGTGGCTTTATTCCGTTTCTAGGATCATTTCTTAACCATACTATATTCCAAGCATACAGAATTCTCCTCAGATAGACTATATTTACACGTCACCTAATGATTGGGATATGTTCTGAGAAATGAGTTTTTGGACACTTTCACCATTCAGCACGAGCAAAATGTACTCACACAAACTAAGATGGCTAAGACTTCAACAGGTGATAAAATTTTATGCAACCACCCATTATACTTGGAGTTGGTCATTGACCAAAAATCATTATATAGTGTATAGCTGTACTTGCTTTCATCCTTTTACAATTATAAATGCTGAGTATGAGCATTTAGAAAAATTTTTGCTGGCAGTTGTTCAGAGTAATTGATGTATCATTTTATAAACTTTTGAGAAGAGGATGTTAGTAATCATTCCCTCATACTTCATCAAGAAAGTGGTATCATCTCAGATGAAAGTGAGACATTTTCAGAAAACTCCTAATAAGTGATAACTATCTTTGTGGCAAAGAGGCTTTTTATGTACCTGCCCTTGATGAGCAATGGGTAAATAAGGAATCTTGGATTTATGATTACAGCTATTAGTAAATACTAGACAGTTTGCTACTTTCTCTCTAATTATAAACTGCATATGTTTGACTTTTCAGCCACCTAAATCTGTACTAAGCTTCGTATTGCTATTTGTCATAATGTGTTTTCTGCCAAAACTGCCCCCACTTGATCTTCCTCAAATTCCTATGAATTAGAAAAGGCAGGTATCACACCTATCCTCATATGAGAAACTTGAGGCTGACCTTTTATTTATAGTAAGTGATAGAATTGGAACCAACTTTTAGTCCTTTTTTTTTTTCACTGTGCCATATATCAAGTTGACCCTATGTGTATGAAAGTTGTTTTGTAATGACTTACAGTTATGCCTCTTTTCAAGATGTTTATTATCCATTTCCCAAAGTATTATATTTTAACTAATAAAAGAGAAGTCAAGTTCTGGACTATCTTGCAGTCATTTTGAAGTCCTTTCAAAAATATTGCTATGAAGTTATAGTGCTGTATTTCAAACTTTGTAATTTGGTGTTTCTTAGCAGTTTAGCATTTTGTATTTTTGTGATTTGTGATTTTGGAATTGCATATATACCTATACAGGTACATGAAATCAGACATTAATATTTCTGTTCTAGTACCTGCATTGATCCTTTTTTTTTTTTTTTTTTGAGCTGGGGATTGAATCAAGAGCCTGGCACATGCTGAGCACGCATACACTCTACCACTGTGCTACATTCCCAGGCCCCTACATTGATCCTAGAGAGCAGAACCATGTGTTATAAACTTCTGTCTTTTATAGTGCCTTGCAGAACAGTAGACATCACAAAGAAGTCTATTGAGACATCCTTGAACAAAGAGCTCTGTAATAAATGACAGTAAAACTGGCTTACAGCCATGGAATTTTGTTATGTTTTTCCTGATATTTCTAACCAAACTAATTTTGAAATCTTTCGTTTATTCGCCCAGTGTTTGAGTACCTTCTACATGCCTGGCACTGATCATAGAGGAGGAATTGCCAAAACCTGTGGTCTGCTAACCAAATCTTTTCAGTTACATTTTATCATAAATAGAAGTTTTATTGGAACACAGCTACATCCATTTCTCCACAATTGTCTGACTTCTTTTTCACTACCAAGGTGGATTTGAACAATTGTAACAGAGCCAGCATGGCCCACAAAATCTAAAATACTTACTGTTTGGTGCTTTAGGAAAGGAAAAATTTACAGACCTAATCTAGAATGCTGCAGTTACAACTCTTTCAAACTAGATAATTGTTTTTTGTGTTAAATTCGGTGTTTTTGTTTTATATTACAGTCTCTCTGGCCTTAAGAGACTTCTTATTTATTCATTAGTCATATTTCAGTTCACAAAAGATGACATTTATTATTATAAGTAACTGATAGTTGTTTACTTCTCAATTTGTATAGATATTTATTTCCTCACTAGGCTTTTTCTCTGAAATGGGAGAATGATTTAGTAGCTGTGAGCCTAGAGTCTGTACAAAGGTAGACTTCAATTTGTGGTACATAGATGGGAAACTAGAATGAGGAAGGATTTTTTTTACTCTGGGGTACCAAGATCCCAGAGTAGATCAAAGAGGTAAAGCAGAGTGTTATCTGTATCAGGATTTAATAAAATTAATAATTTTGTTTCATCAAGAATATGCCTGAATGAAACTTTCTGTGAGGGTATGGTAATAAAGAATATAATGACTGCTAGAATAGTTTAGTGCTCTGCCTTCATCCATGCTAAGGTTCCAACTCTTTTTTTTTACCCTCTTGTTTTAGCGTAAATACCAACAAAATGAAAAAGATAAAGTTCTTGCTATTGTGAAAAACACTTTGACCTCCTGGATCTCTGAAAGGATCTTAAGAATCCCTGGGGGGTCCAGAGAGACCTCTGGAGTTGACTTAGAGGGTACACTCCAGCCAGACTGCTCCTGTTAAATCCCAGCTCTGTCATTTACTAGCTGAATGACCTTGAACAGTTTCCTCAACTACTCGGCCTCAGTTTTCTTGTTTTTGAAATAAAGATGGTGATAATATTAACATCATAGGATTATTATGAAGAAACTGATATTTATAAAGTGCTTTTAGAATAGGGCTTGGTACATAAGGCACTATGTAAATATTGTGTTTTATTGTTGTTGTTACGTGTTGGGGATTGAACTGAGCCTCCTGTATCCTAGGCAAGCACTTTACCACTGAGCCACATTCCCAGCCCTATAAATAAGTTAAGCCAATTATTTCTGTTGAAAGTTTTTACTGAATTTCAAGGGAGCAAGAAGAGATTTAAATTTAGAGAATGACAGTATTAAACTAAAAAATCTTGAGAGAGAATCATTTACAAATGTTGGAAACCAAGTAGGAGATTTGCCTTAAAGGGTAGAAGAGAGATTCCTTAGAATGGTTAGGACAAGGAGGTGAAGCATTGTTGAACGGCTGCTTGAAAGCCATGGTTATGTGGCTTACAAGCTTTAGGGTCAAAGAAGAAGAAATTAAAGAGAAGGTTATGTGTATAGATTTTATGTATTACAGATCTTATTTTATGTTGAGTTGAGTTCTGTATGGTGTTTTTGAGAAGAAATTTTAATGAATGTCCATGGATATGGAAGCCAGTGGGAAATTTTGAGTGGGTTTTCCTCCTTTTTTTGCAAAAGATATTAAGTGGCCTTGTGTAGGTAAAAACTATGTCTTATTCTTCAAGGTAAGCAATACAGAACCAAGGGCAGTTTTGAGAACATAAAATTGACTTACAACTTAAATTTCACTCATAAAATTACTCTTTGAGGGCTGGGGACATAGTTCAGTTGGTAGAGTGCTTACCTCGCATGCACAAGGCCCTGGGTTTAATCCCCAGCACCACAAAAAAAAAAAAAAAAAAAAAAAAAAATTTACTGTTTGGTATATGCTAAATTAGGCAGATTGCTAAATGAACCCATTTCTAAATGAATTCAATTGGAAAACATGCTCAAAAGCTTAGAGCATGAGGCTAGGCATCTTTGTCCAGTGTACAAACTGTATAACCTATGTTATTCCAACAGATCCTGCTAGCAGGGTCTACTCTCTTAATAGCAAATTCAGTTTCTTTAATTTTATTTTTGTGGTACTGGGGATCAAACTCAGAGGCACTTTATCAATGAGCTATATCCCTAGCCCTTTCCATTTTTTTTTTGTTTTGAGACAGGGTCACACTTAAGTTGCCAAGGATGGCCTCAAACTTGTGATCCTCCTGCCTCAGCCTCCCAAGTAGCCAGGATTAAAGGTAAATGCACTACCATGCCCAGCCAAATTCCATTTCTTTAAAATGATTCTTTTTAGTTTCTTGCCTGTTAGCGGCAGTGTGCTGGCAAGGTGACAGAGCAGTTTCAGTCATGCATTCAACAAATATTAAGTGCCTGACCATTTGCCAAGCCTTATTTTAAGCACCAGTGAACAAAATTGTCAAAAGCCCCTTTCATTATGAAGGTAATGTTTTAGAGGGAAGACAGAATAAGTTTAATTTAATAGTAAATTAAGATAAAGGCATTAAAGAATAATAATACTGAGAAGGCTTATAAAGTACAGTGGGGGTAATTTTAAGTAGGGTATTGAGAGAAGGTCTACCTGAAAAGGTGATGAGCAAAGACTTAAGGGGAATGGAGAGAGTTTAGTCATAAAAATTTTGGAGAATAGAAGGAATCAAGTACAAATGTCTTGAGATAGGAACATACTTGACATGTGTTTAATAGAGACTAGAAGGGGGAGGGGTGCTGCAGATTGTGAGGATCCCTTTAGTCATGGTTAAGAGTTGCTTTTACCCTATGTGAGTTAGGAAACCATTGGAGGATTTTGAATAAGCAACCAGTGTGATTTGGTTTATATTTTACTCCAAATCACTGGCTGCTCCATTGAAAATAGACTATTGGAAGGCAAGCACAGAAGCAGAGACATATACCAGTAACTATATTAGTCATCACTTGCTGCATAACAGATTAGTGCCTGGAAGCAACTAAGTTTAAAACAACATTTTGTTAAATGTTTTTAAAGATGCTTAATCTCTTCCTTTCCTCCTCCTTTATCTTTCTTCCTTCCTTTTCTTCTTTTCCCTGATGTAAATTCAATAGAAATCTAAATTAACATATTAAGTTGTTTTTTAAGTAAAATTTAGTAAACTAGTGGGGTGTGGTGGTACCTACCTATAATCCCAGTGATTCCAGACATTCAGAAGACGGAGGCAAAAGGATCGCAGAGTTTGAGTCTGGGCAACTTAACAAGACACTTTTCTCAAAATAAAAAGGGCTGGGGATGTGGCTCTGTGGTAGAGCACCACTGGGTTGCATCCCTGTTACAGCCTGCCCGTCCTCCCCACCTCCCTTGCTCCCAAGATGAACTTAATCTAAAATTTGTGTGGAAGTGCAAAGAGCCAAGAATAAGAATAACCAATGAAATCATGAGTAAGAACAATACCAGATATCTGAATCTTGTACTAGATATCCTTAGCAGACAGTTTGATTCTTAGTAATTAATTCTAATATTCCTAAGGATATTTTTAAAACTCTAGTAATTTAAAACAGGATAGACAAATTGATCAGTTAAAGAACTGAGAACCAAGGAAAAGAGCCATTCATGTGTGATACTTGGGGATGGAAAAAGATGAGAATGAGTTATAATAGGAAAAGGATGATCTTTTCAGTAAATATTTTTTGGTCAATTACATATCCTATGGGGAAAACAATGAATCTTAAACACCTGTTTCGTTTCATACCAAAAACAAAAACCTGATAGATTATGTATCTAAATATGAAAGATAAAATTAAAAAATTGAGAAGAAAATATAGAATGTCTTTATGACCTTGGAGTAGGCAAACGTTTATTTAAAATAACATCTAAAAGCACCATTAAAAAAAGAACATTTGTTAACAAAATCTAAATTAGATTACTTTGACCTAAGACACCAGAAGTGGAAGACATAAGGAGCAAAAGGGAAACAATACAACAAAAAACTTGCATAAAAATCTTTTTTTGGTGCTGGGGATAGAACCCAGGGCCTCATGCATTCCAGGCAAGTATTCTACCACTGGGCCACATCCCTAGCCCAGAAAACTTCAGGCACTTAACAAAAGAGGATACAGGACACCAAAATGGCTAATAAACATATACAAATGTGCTCAGCTGTATTAGACTTAATGGCAGGGAAAATCAGTAAGACTACATTGATATATCACTGTTTAGTCACAAGAATATTTAAAATAAAAAGGCAGATATGTTTATTTCTTAGGGCTTTTGTAACATTAATATAAACTGGATGGCTAAGTCAAAGAAATGTCTCCCTTGATTCTGGAGCCTAGAAGTCAGTATCAAGTGTTACTATATGTCTATCTTAAACCACTCCCTCTTCTTTGGCTCTTTATTCAAAGGATACATGTAATTCCACTTAGAGCTCACCTGGATAATCCAGATAAATCCTCTTCTCCAAATTCTAAATGACATCTTTTGCTTTATGAAGAAGTATTTACAGGTTCCAGGAGTTTAGGACATGGACATGTCTTTAAAGCCACCATTCAGCCCAAAATAGCAGATAATACTAAATACTGGTGAGATGTGGAAGAACCTGAATGCTTATACGTTACTAGGAGAGTACAAATTTGTGTAACCACTTTGGAATGAATTAATAATATCCATATAGTGTATGACCCAGTGTTTCTACTGCTAGGTGTGTACCAAACCAAATTATGTATTTTTTCAGCCAGAAGATACATAAAATAACATTCACAATTGAAATATGAACTAGAAATTTCCAAAATTCCCATTAGTACTAGAATAGATTGTGGTTTCTTTGTACAGTAGAATGTGCTGTATAACAATAAGAATGAATAAATTACTATTAGAAAAAACAGAATGGTTGAATCTCATGAATAATTTGAGAGAAGTCAGACACAAAATGTGTATATGTGGTATCTGCCAATAGGAAAGTGAAATTGGTACTTACTGGAATTAACTTTCAGGTTTCTTATTATGTGACCTAATATGTTGGAAATGATGCATTAATTATTTGCTAGGAAAGAATATGTAGTATGTAGTATCCCCATAGATATTGTCCTCATGTTAGCCTTTTTGTCTTTCAGCCCAAGCAACAGCAGGAAAGAAAATCTGACATAGGGAACTGGGGACTGCTATACAGAGAGAACTACAAAACATCCTCAGTACAGTAAGAATCCTAATCCAAAGTCCCTATTCTTATAACAGAGTGAGTAGCATTTCTCCCAAGTGTTTTATATCAAGATGTATTTTGTTATCTATTTACTTTATGAACTTTCCTAGATTTTTTGTTATCTCTGAAAACAAACTATTATATGGGCAATATGTGTATGTTCTTGGCGCCCCCTTAACCTCAAACATAAAAATTGTAGAAGGATGTACCATAAATTGCTCCCTCTGGGATCTCCATTTGCTACAATTACAGAGAATTATCCAATTTTTAAGTGGTTAATTTTCTGTGATTAAATAAATGCAGAGGGTAGGAGAGGCTTTTCTTACCTCTTCCAGTAGTGATTCAGAGTTTATTTTTCAATAACAATTTTTTAAAAATTGCTGACCAACAAAACATGACTGAGCTAGATTTAATCCAAGTTGGCCAGTTCACAGTTTCTCTGGACTAATTCATCATTGTAAATTATGTTTCCTGCAGGAGGAGAAAGCAATGAAATGAAAAAAATATGCATGTCAGGGCTGGGGTTGTGGCTCAGCAGTAGAGCGCTTGCCTAGCACGTGCAAGGCCCTGGGTTTGATCCTTAGCACCACATAATAATAAATAAATAAAACAAAGGTATTGCGTCCAACTACAATTGAAAAATAATTTTTTAAAAATGCATGCATTTTATAATTGCCTTAGGCTATTAGTCATTCTTACTGAATAGCTGTTTCAGTATAGAAGTTACGAGTACTGCAGATTAAAAACGGTTTTTCATGATGTTTTCTTCTCCTTTTCGATGGAAACTAATCATTTTTTGCTTAACATGAAAACTTTTAACAATAATGAAGTATGATTAGTAAAATATTTTGTAGGATTCATGTTAGGCATAAATGGGATTTGAAGAAGAGACCTAACAGTTTAGCTGGGAAATGAGTTGTATACTTAGTGAATTATACTGAGTACCCCAAGCGGTGGTTCTGGTGAGTTCTTTAGGAAGATAGAGCTGATTTCCTGAAATAGGATTGTTATAGGCAGAGAGCAAAATGGACAGCATTTACTAAGAAAGGAGCCTTATGAGTTAAAAACTTGTTTCTTTTTGGGGGCCTGCGGTGGGTACTGGGGATTGAACTCAGGGGCACTTGACCATTGAGCCACATCCCCAGCCCTATTTTGTATTTTATTTAGAGACAGGGTTTTACTGAATTGCTTAGCGCCTCGCTGTTGCTGAGGCTGGCTTTGAACTTGCAATCAATCCTCCAGCCTCAGCCTCACGAGCAGCTGCGTGCACCACTGCACCCGGGTAAAAACTTGTTTCTAGGAATGAGCATGAGTTGGGTGGGAACCAAACATCCTCTACTTTCAGGCAGAGCAGAATAAGAGCTATTATTGAACTTCTTCTATGTGCTAGGCACTACGTTGATGCTTTCTGTATGCATTCTTTAATCTGGTTACATAAATAATTTAAGTGCCCTCTTGGGGATTTGAGGCTAGAGAATTTTAGTAACCTGTCCAAGGTAATAAAACAGCAAAACTGGAATTCAAACTATTGCCAGCCTGACTCCCAGGCCATTCCCTTTTCACACATTGTACTTTCCAGGAAAATTTGGCTGGTTGGGGTAAATTATGGAGAGCATGTGTGATATGTTGAATACTCCTCCTGGGGGCAATTATTATAAAATAACAGAAGTAGTATGATGAGAACTGGCCATTCCAGGAGAAGGTTAAATAAGTGGATTGGGAGAAAGGATAGTAAAACAAAGGGAAAAAATAAGTAAAATAACACAGGAGTTATACATACAGCCTCTGGGTTCCATCTTCAGCACAAAACAAGCAAACAAAAAACAACAACAAACAAAAATCTTGTCTGTGTAAAGTGAGAAGACTTAAAAGTTGGAATGGGAAAGAGCATAAAAATTACTAGAAATTGATGACTGAACACTAGGAAATGGAGCAAAGGGAAATAAATTTAATTGACATGTTGCCATTATAATTGAGTTTATTTATTTGTATTCATTCATTGCTATTCTTTTATCAGAATTTTAAGTTGGTAATAAATTTTCTTAGCAGTCTTAAAATATTTAATTTTGAATTCTTCATACGATAAGAACTTCTTTGGTAAAAAGATGTAAAGCAAAAACAAATTTTCTTGAGAGCCACTCAAGTGTGGGTGGTGTACACTTCTAACCCAGTGATTCAAGGATCATAAATTCAAGGCCAGCCCAGGCAACTTAGGGAGAACCCGTCTCAAAAAAATAAAAAAGGCTGGGGGTGTTGCTCAGTGATAGAGTGCCCCTGGATTCAATCCCCAATACTGGGGTGGTGAAGGGGAGTGGTTACAGCTAATAAAAGCTGTATAATGTCTTAAGGTTAAATAAATAAATTTTAAATAATAAGACTTCATGAATGCTCGAAGAATTGTAGATTTTTTAGAGATATGGACAGTCATTTTCTCATTTTTAAGTTCAGTAAAAAAGATACGGACATAGCTACTTGCTAGATGTGTGATTTTGGGAAAATTAAGACTTTTTGAGTATCATTTTTCTCATTTTTTTAAAATGGTGCTCAGGCCTGTAATTCCAGCTACTGAGTAGGCTGAGATTGGAGGAGCAGAAACTTGAGGACAGCCTGAGCAATTTAGAGAGATCCTTACTCAAAAAATAACACTAAAAGGTCTGGAGGATGTCACTAGGTGGTAGAAGGTTCCTTTGTTCAATTCCCAGTACTTATTGGATGGAGGGAGAAGAAGGAAAGGATATCAATAGCACCAACATGGAGTGTTCTTGAGGGGATTAAATGATAGATAAGTAAAATAAAAACAGTTCCTGCCCCATAGTAAACTCTGAATAACTACTTTGAGTGTTATCTAGGTTGTTAGAGGGAATAATGAGTTATGAATTTAATTATGAATGTAATAAAGTATCTGAACTCATTTTATGAATTCACTTCCATTCACAGAATTTTTAATAGTTATGCCATGCTGATCCATTTTCTTCTAGTAGAGCATTTGCACTCTGTCTCCTTAGATTTGCAGCTTTAGAATCCCACTGCAGCAGTTATGGAATTGTTCTACCTTCTCCTTTTTCTCTCTGATCATTTGAATGCCAACTGGTGTGTTCTGCAAGTTGTTTACTTACCAAAAAGTTACACCACCAAGGGCCGTCAGGATTTCCATTTTCTCCATAGCTATTCTATCCATACCGTTATACATTCAGATAAACTAAGTCACCCTTTCATGGCTTTGGATCTTTCAGAATCTTCTTAAAAGGTACTGGTTTTTTGTCCTAAATGATGAATAAACAGGTTAGTTTTGAGTTTTTATTTTGTTTTTTTTTGTTTGTTTTTTTCATGAAATCCTTTGTGCCTTTTGAGTTATAATCATTGTTAATTTGTTGCTATGCAAGGCATTTTGGCTTGGGAAAATTGCTAGTTACATGGCTTTGAATTTCATTCTTACAAAGCAAGTATTATGGTAGAAAAGCTTTTTGATGGTCTTATTGTACTTTTTATCTTACTTTACTTTTTTAAAAAAATTATTTTTTATTGTAGTTGGACACAATACCTTTATTTTATTTATTTATTTTTATGTAGTACGAGGATCAAACCCAGGGCCTCGTACATGCTAGACGAGTACTCTACTGCTGAGCCACAACCCCAGCCCTATCTTATTGTACTTCTTATCTAATGTTTACTTGTGGTTTATATAGAAGTATTTATCTATTACCCATCCCCTCAAGGAGCCCTTTTAGACTTTTTTTTTCCCCTTAAAAACTTGCCCCTACACCTCCATAAAATTTTCAATCCAAAAATAATACTGTGTATCTATTTATATATAGTGTATATGTCTATGTTCTATATATAAAGAGGAAGGGATTTTTTTTTTTGGTGTGCCTCCTTTCCTCAAAAAATTAGTGTTTGCCTCTTGGAGGTGCTACTGCCTATATTGAAAATGCACATTTTGTTGCAGCAATTAATTCTCAAAATTTTTGGTTTCAGGATCTTTCGTTCTCTAAAATTAGTGAATAATACCCTAAAGAGATTGTTTATGAGGAGTGTATCTAGAGTTATCCATCAGATTATAAATTAAATGGAGAAAAATTTTAAATACTTCTTTACTTTTTAAAAATTAATGGAAAATGTCCCCATCCCCCAAATACACACACTTTTTAGTGATAAGAATGGCATTACTAACATATTTTAGCAACTCTCTTTAAGGTCTGGCTTAATAGCAAGATTCTCATAGTTACCTTTGATTCAATCTGGTACAGTATTATAAAGCAAATCTGGTCTCATATGTAGTTGGAAAAGGAAAAAGGTTTTCATATAATAGAGGTAGTTGTTTGATACTACACTAAAACTTGACAGCTGCTAGTTTTGTAAAGAATAGTTGCATTGTGGAATCTGAAACCACATAAAACCTTTTTGACCTATCCTTGACATCTTTTACTTCAAATGGATTTTTGTACCATCACACATTGGATACTTTGAAAATACTACTTTACTGACTTATGCAGATCTTGCATATATTGATTTAATATTGACTAACTGCATTTCATTAATATCACCATCAATATCACCAGAAACATTCAAAATGTTAAAGACTTGTCAAGCCTTTTTTCATTTGAATGCTTGAATACTGTCCTTGAAAGTGAATATTATCAGTTTTGACAGGTGCACTTCATTCGTTTTCAAGAATATCTCCATATACTGCAGTCCAAATATCTAGTTTAACATTATTTCCGTGTGAAAAGGTAATTCAGCCAGCTCACAATATAAAGATTTGCACAAGTGTTTTTTTCTTCAGTCATATTTCTCTGTTCAGTAGTAGTGGTTCATGCCTGCATCCCAGTTAGCTACAGAAAATATTAATAAGACTCATGTGTTCAAGACAAGATTTAAAGAAATTATTATATGTATTTTTGTATCAGTACCGAAGATTGAACTCAGGGGTGTACCACAGAGCTACATCCCCTGTCTTTTTATTTTTTTATTTTTTTGAGACAGGATTTTGCTAAATTGCTGAGATTGGTGTCAAACTTGGAATAATCCTGCTTCATCCTTCCAAATAATTGGGATTACAGGCAATCACCACTGTCCCTGTCTAAAATTAATACTTTTTACTGTTGAGTGTAGTGGTGAAGAAGTACAGTTTGATGCCACTGACTTGTTTGGGCTCCTTGATAAGGAAGGCTCCAGCTGTTTTATCCACCTTGCTTTTATACCACTAGTGCACATGTCAGTATGGTGAGAAAGACAACTTGTTATTCTGAAAAGTTTTGACCTTTGTAATCGGTTGTTAACCACACTTTGAATGTGGACTTTGGTGTATCCAGACTACCTGGATTGAAACCCAGCTCCATCACTTATTATTTGCTTCATAATGACCCAGTTATCCTGATAACACAACTAGGTAAACATTATAAAAAAGAAAGCTATAGGGGCTATGGTTGTGGCTCAGTGGTAGAGCACTTGCCTAACGTGAGGCACTGGGCTCAATCCTCAACACCACATTAAAAAAATGCATAAATAAAGTACAGGTATTATGTCCATCTACAATCAAAAAAAAAAAAGTAAAAGAAAGCTATAGACCAATATCTTTTAGGAATATGGACCAAAAAAAAATCAAAATATTAGACATTAGCTTTTCTATATCACCATCATTATCTTTTAATTTGATAGTTATTTATAGGAGTGCAGGATAGGGAGGAATCTGAAGTAGCATATGTATAAAAAAGATTGTATGAATTCTAAAATGACTTATTCATGGAGTAAGAAAGGTGCTTGTCAAAATCGCAAATTAGGGCTGGGGTTGTAGCTCAGTGGTAGAGCGCTTGCCTAGCATGTGTGAGGCACTGGGTTCGATTCTTAGCACCACATATAAATAAAATATACATTGACAACTAAAAAAATATTTTAAAAATCTCAAATTATATTCCTACTCTAAAGATCTAAATACTAAACAGTTTTAGGACATTTCTTTTTAAAGGCAAATATTAAGCTTATCATTTTTTCCTTTTGTAATCCAGTCAAATGCTTTTATTATTCTTGGTTCTGAAATTTGCATTAAATACCCATTACCCATCAGCTGTATTTTCAAACAATTTAGGATAAAGGTAAACCTGATAACAGTGAATTGTGAATTCTTTCCTTAAGAGTTTATCAATTCAAGAAAATTTCAGTTGCAAAACATTTTCCTCCTTTGGTTTTTCTCATTCTTCATGATCTTTGAACATAATACTCTCTGCTATATACGTACACCCATTTTGGAGTAACCTTCATTTAGAGGGTGGTTGTTTTGTAATAAGGAAGAGCTTGTTATTACCGTCTGTCATGTTATTCATGCCAAAGAACCAATTGCTGTATGGGAGAAATAGCACATGGGGTTCTTCCATCTGCTATAATTGATTATTGCCTTCATGTGGTTCCCAAATATTTCCTGAGTCACAGCATCACTTGACTGATGCCTCTGTCACATTAACTTTTAGTTTTTAAAATTTTAAATACTTAAAAAAATAAATTTTATTTCTAATTAGGCAAGTAGTATCTTCATTTTCGGGAATCATGAAAGTACAGAAAAGGTATTAATCGGGAAAAAAAGTCATTAGTTTTGCCATCTGTGGATATGTTCATACTACCTGTTTTGATGATTGAGTGATGTTCCTTTCATGCTAATTGGAAACATATATATGTTTATTTTTGTGGGGAGGGTTACTGGGGATTTAACCCAGGGGCACTCAACCCCTGAGCCACACCCCCAGCCCTTTTTATTTTTTATTTTGAGACCAAGTCTCGAAAAGTTGCTGAGGCTGTCTCAAACTTGTGATCCTCCTGCGTCAGCCTCCTGAGTCACTGGGATTATAGCTGTGCACCTTGCTCAATTGTATATATATTTCATATTGCAGCTTTTCATTCATTACCAACATTTTTCCATCAGAAAATATTCTAAAATATTAATGACTGTATAACTTGTCACTAATAATGTATCATGCTTTTTAAAAATCCATTCTAATGTTGAGCATTTAGGTTATTTTCAGTTTATCAATATTGTGAATATCCTGTGAAGCAAATGCCTTGTATATCATTCTTTGTTCTTTTTCTGATTATACTCTAGTTATTCTATAGAATTGCTCATTAAAGGAGAATGATTGAGAGCAACATTTGTCTTTTATAGGACTCATGAGGTGAATTGCAACATGCTTTCCAAAATGATTGAACCTATTTCTGATTTCATGAGCATTCTGCCCTATTCTCCATTCTTCACCAGAATTGATATTATGTTATAGAATAAAGTATATAAATTAACAAGTGAATTTTGATCCAAAGTTTAAATGTTTAGAGATTAAATAGTGTAACATATAGCAAAACTTACGGTGTATTTTTCTCATTACTAGAAGAGTCAAACTGAACTATATTTAAAGAGTTTTTCTTAACTTCAGATAGGTCTTCAAACAGGTCTCTCACAGATTAAAAAAAAGAAAAGTACAAGTCTGTGCCAGAGTTGCTGATGTAGAAATAAATGATCTGTGATCAAGGAAATAAAAACAGTTCTCTCTCCTAATGTAGAGTTGATTGGAGATAAAAGTTCAGTGTGCTGTTTGGTTTCTATATTCTATTAACTTTTGCCCTAGGTCTTGGGACAATTGTATAGAGTGGTTGGGAGGGAGGGTTGCATATGTGGGGTTTTGTCCTCTATTGTATAGAAAGCATATTAGGATAATTATGACTGAATTCTTGTGTCTGAGTTCTTTATTCTATATAAATTGCAGGTGTGCAACAGAGGAACATGGCTCAAGAAACGAATCACAGCCAAGTGCCTATGCTTTGTTCCACTGGCTGCGGATTTTATGGAAACCCTCGTACAAATGGCATGTGTTCAGTATGCTATAAAGAACATCTTCAAAGACAGAATAGTAGTAATGGTAGAATAAGCCCACCTGGTAAGTAATTCTGTAATTCATGTAATTCATGTTGTATCCAAGACCATTTTCGCTGTCACATTGTATTGTATTACCATATTTATCTCAGTAACTCTTCTTTTACACATTGTAATAGTCATGGTGGAAAGTCAGGAATAAGAGTATCCTTACTCTGTAAATAGTGTAAAGCCATTCCAAGGTCTTATTTGCTGTGCTACAGAAACTCTTAGTACCTTATGAAAACAAAAGCATAATTCAAGTAAATATAGCTAACTTGGAAAGTAAAGTAATGGAGGAATATGGGCTATAAGATATAAGAGAACTTTTTTTTTTTTTTTTTTTTTTTTAAGATCAGTTATTGGGCTGTACATAGTATAGAACCACTAAAATGAATTGTGGTCTGTTACAGCAACTTCTGTCAGTAGTCTGTCTGAATCTTTACCAGTTCAGTGCACAGATGGCAGTGTCCCAGAAGCTCAGTCAGCATTAGACTCCACATCTTCATCTATGCAGCCAAGGTAAGGTGGACTTTCCAAATTGTAGTTGAAAAACTTATGAAAAACAAGGAACAAATTCTATTTTTAATCAATTTTATTAAGGAAACTATGTAAGTTACTTGAGGATTAACTGTCCTAAAATTATATCTGACTAATTAGAAAAAGGTTTTTATTGTTTTCACTTGGGAGTGAGATCTTTTAAGTCTTAGATTTCCTTTTCAAATATCTTTTCCTTTATTCTTCTTCATACTATATCCTGACCCACCCCTGAAGTCCTTTTGAAGACTTTTGAGTCAATTTTTTAAATTATAGTCTTAGTCTGAAAGTATTAGTACTTTGCATTTTAAAAATATTCTTGTTGGCTGGTTGTGGTGGCACACACCTATAATCCCAGTGACTCTGGAGGCTGAGGCAGGAGGATCACAAAATTGAGGCCAACTTTGGCAACCTAGTGAAACCCTGTCTTTAAGTAAATAAGTAAAAGTCAATAAATAATAGAGGGCTGGAGAGTGGTAGAGCACCCCTGGGTTCAATCCCTGGTACTGCAAAAAAAAAAAAGTCTTAGCACAGGTTCTCTTTAATACCATTATTAGGTATTATATTTGGTACTTATAAAGAAAAATATGTTACAAAACAAATAAGCCTGCATACAGAAACACTTGTTTCAGTTTTATTCTGTTAGGAATCAGTACATAAAATTTGTGCTCTGTTTCTTTTTTTGTAATTCATGAGTTATTCACTTGTGCTATGCCATAATATCATTTATAATTTTGCATTAGGATTCCTTGAACACATCTTTATCTGCTACTTTTTTTAGTAGTGCATTTACATGGAATTGCTTTGTTTCCAAAACACAAACTTCTAACCCAAATTAGTCTCCCGTTTCAAAGCTCTATGGTTATGGTATAAACAAGTGTGTTGGTGTTCTTAGTGATCTACTTAGGTAAGTTGACTTTTAACTTACTATGTTACTTTAGTTAATATTCATGTGTGGAGACCATTTTTTAAAACTGAAATAATGCTGGGATATGATGGTACACACCTGTAGTCCCGCACTTGGGAGTCTGAGGTGGGAGGATTGCTTGAGCCCAGGAGTTTAAAACCAGACTGCATCTCAAAACAAACCAAAAAAAATATATTTTTTCCATTAATAAAATAAAATTTAAAATATTTTTGCTTTTATAGCCCTGTATCAAATCAGTCACTTTTATCAGAATCTGTAGCATCTTCCCAAGTGGACAGTACATCTGTGGACAAAGCAGTACCGGAAACAGAAGATCTGCAAGGTTTGCATATGAACTACTAGCATGTAGTTTATCATTTATTAACTCTTTGAGTATTATACGCCAAACTCTAGCCTAAGCATATGTATTAAAAATTCCTCAATATTTATATGCTTTCATTATGAAGAGTATTTCAGGGCTGGGGTTGTAGCTCAGTGGTAGAGCGCTTACCTGGCGTGAATGAGGCACTGGGTTTGATCCTCAGCTAAATAAAGTTTTGGGGTTTTGTTGTTGTTGTTGTTGTTACAGAGAATATTCTATATTCTCAAGTAATTAATTGAATGAAATGTTGGGAATTTCACTTACATATAATTATATCAGCATAAATAGAAGATTCAGAATTTTAGTTTGAAAAATATAGGTTAATGACCATGTAAAAGTGTTATTCTCTTTTATTATTTTGGCCAGTTGAATTTTTAAAATATTTCTTCTCCAAGCAAAGGAATTTGGTTCTTTTGGTTTTTGACTTAGATTATTTGAGAAACTATTCTACTTGGTTGGCAGGCACCCCTCTTTCCCCATCTGTGACTTACAGTGCAGTAGTCACATTTAGTTACTTGTATTCACAAGTTGTGGTGCCTCTTGTTCTTTCCATGCTCTTTATATCCCAATACATGACTCAGAGTAATATGAGGAGACTTGAAAGTTTGTATGAAGGCTTTCTTAACAGGGACAGTACAGAGGAAAGGTCATTTAGGAGGCTTTTAAATAATCTCTTTTTAATTGTTTATGTTCTCCTAATGTGTTAGCCAAGGGTGGATACTCTGGAAAGGCACCCAGAGATGAGCAGTATGTCTATGTGGCATGATTTAAAGAGAAAAAAATGCCTTGACCAGTGACTGTCCATTGTGCATGGTGTTGGGACGATAGTGACAGATATATCAGGCAACATTTGTTAAAGTTTGTTGAATTTTAAATTTAAATAAGTTAGCTAATTCTCCATTTTTATTTCATGCCCAACAAATGATTGACATAACTTGCCAATTTGCAAGATTTTGCTATAACAAACAAATATAGTATATGCCAACATAAGTAGTCTGATCTGCCTAGCATATTATAAATTTATAAATATGAATCATAAGTGAAAATTTTTTGTTTTTTAGTTAAACAGAAAAATTTAAGCCAAGTGTGATGTCACACATCTGTAATCCAAGCAGCTCAGGAGGCTGAGATAGGAGGATCACAATTTTGAGGCCAGCTTCAGTAACTTAGCAAGGCCTTCAGCAACTTAATGAAACCCTGTCACAAAATAAAAAGGGTTGAGGATATTATGTAGCTCAGTGGTAAAGTACCCCTGGGTTAAATCGCCAGCACCAAAAAAGTAATTTATTAAAGAAGGAAGGACAGAGATGGGGGATACTTTGAAAGCAGAAATAGGAAAAATGTCAAGATTCAGTTATTCACTGTATCAGAGAAAGAAAAAGAAAAGAAAGAGAAGAGAAAGGGGGTCTCAAAGCTCCTGGTTTTATCATAATGGCAATGGTATGGTTTCTTTAGACAGGGAAGCCAAAAAGTTAGTATGGTTAGAGAAAATTTTAAAAAGTGAGGTGGAAATGATTAAATTTCAAACTTGAGAGAGCTCATTTGGAGGTATAGAGAGAGAAGTTGAAAAGGAAGAAAACAGGCTGCTAATCACAAAGATGTTATTATATCCTATGACAGAATCAATTTTAGAATTTTAGCTATGAAAAAAATTTTAAAGCTTAAGGATGCAATAATAATTGCTATACAGTTTGACAAAGAATAAAGACTGTAGGTTGGTGAACTAATAATATATGAAGTACTTTTATACCATTCTAGTGTATGGAAAACATAGTTTATTCCAGCTGTCTCTGAGTACAAAGGTGATCATGATGCCATATTAAAAGAAATTGTAGTCTTTTAAAAATTTAGGCTTGTTTTCTTCATGTATAACTTAAAGGACTTTTAAGTTGTATTTAACATTTTTTTGTTGTTTTTTGTTTGTTTGTTTTTTGAGACCATGGATTAAACCCAAGGACACTTAACCACTGAGCCACATCCCTAGGCTTTTCTTGTATCTTATTTAGAAAGAGGGTCTCACTGAGTTGCTTAGGGTCTAAGTTGCTGAGGCTGGCTTTTAATTTGCAATCCTCCTGCCTCTGCCTCTCAAGCAGCTGGGGATTATAGGTGTGCACCACCACATCAGGCTAAGTTAAACTTTTAAGTGCCTTTTTTAAAAAAAGTCGGTCATTCATAATTTCAGCATAGCAAATACACAGACAAATCAAAATAATGAGCTTAAGAGATAAATATATTTTATATGCTGAAAACTAATAATAGATATCTAGGTATCAATACACACACATATATGCATGATTTCCCTGTTAGATAACAAATTCAGAGAATGTTTCTTTGTCTATTTTACTAGGTAGCTGAAAAGAAACATAAAAAGTCTCTTTGACTTAGTCAAATGATCATTGGAACTGAAAATGGACCCCAGGCACCCGACTAGGCCAGTATTCTTTCCACTAGATAGTTGTGCCTGTTGGACTGTGATGTGGATATGTTGGGTTATTGTTGATACATCCAGTCCCCTCTCGGTTCCCAGGACAGGATCAGCCATTTTGGCAAGCTACCCAGGTATCTGTTCTTTTCACTCCATATGTCTCCCACAAGGGAAATTTACTTAAACAGGAAGACCATCCCTAATGGAGTGCATATATGAGTAGCAGCTGTGTGCCTAAACAAGAATTTCCTAACATTTTTTTAAAATATTTCTTTAGTTGCAGACGGACACAATATCTTTATCTTATTTATTTATTTTTTTGTGGTGCTGAGGATTGAACCCAGTGCTTCACGCTTAAGAGGCAAGTACTCTACCACTGAGCCACAACCCCAGCCCCAAGAATTTCCTAACATTTTTTTATTGGGGTTTTCAAAACAGCTTTTTTTCTCTACAAGCATTCTGCTTATAATTAGGAAATGCTGCCACCAGGTGGGTGGTACTACTTTCATTTTGGCTTTTTGGCTTCGAAGATTTTTTCTCAAGTTTAAATGAGAATTCAGTATTTGCAACATGTTTGTCATTTAATTATGCTTTTAATTTAAAAAAATAACAGTATCTCAGGTGGTGTCACTTAGGAATGTAGGTCAGATTTCTAGTTCACAAAAACTAGCTTTTATTGTTGTTTAAATACTTTAAAGCATTTTGACATATCACATTTTGACTATCACATTTGATTGGCTGCCTTATTAAACAGTATGTTTGACTTTGATTTTCCTTTTAGTTCCTCAGATCTTGGGTCATAACTAAAAAGAATGGAATTGGAAGTAGAGTTTCTGTTTTCATATCTTGATAACTTCTCTGAGCCTTGTTTTTTATTATTTTTAAATGAGAGTAATAGCCATGTCCACTGTAATAGGATATTAAAAGTTTATTAAGCAACAAAGGTAAAATGAGCTTTATAGATTGCAAAGGATATTTTAACTTCATATATTATCCAAGTAATTTGGAGTTGTAGGAGACTTAGAATAAGGATTTAAAAGCTTTCCAACTGTAGAATAAAGTAATATTAAGGTGTTAAGCTATAAATCACTGAGACATTCTAGGAAAACTATTATTAGTTAAGGTCAAGGCATAGGGAAATGCTACACTGAGTAAAGGGTGAACTGGAATTTTCAGGCTTTTCCCAAATCTGAGAATTCCTGATTTCATACAAAGATGACTTGTTAAATCATCAGGTCACAGCAGAGAAGAATAATCCCATTAGACTAATTTAGGAAAGGCTGTATGGATTAAAAATCAGGGATTTCTTCTGATTTTGAAGAATGAGTAAGAATAGCCAAAACAAGTCTTGAAAAAGAAAACCAAAGTTGGAGAACTAACAATTCCCAATTTCAAAATTTAAGGTACAGTAATTGAAACTGTGATACTTGCATGGAGATAGTTATATAGATCATTGGAACAGTATTGAAAGTACAGAAAACACTCAATACAGAAAGTACAGAAATACCCATATTCATGGGCAGTTGAGTTTTCAATAATGGTGCTAAGATCATTCAATGGGAAAAGAATTTTTTTTTCCAACAAATGATGCTGGAACCACTCATCCACATTCAAAAGAATGAATTAGGACCATATCTCATATACAGAATAACCCAAAACACATCAAAGACTTAAATAAACATAAGAGCTAAAAAAATAAAAATCCTTAAAACAAATATAAATTTTTGTGACCTTGAATTAGGCAGTGATTTCTTTACAGCACCTAAAACAATAACAACAACAAAAGAAGAGGATACGTTGAGTTATATGTAATCAGTAAAAATAATAAGTATTGTCAAAGTTCTAATAGAAATTAGAACACTTATATATTGGTGGGAATGTGAAATGGTACCAATGTTTGTTTTTAATTTTTTTAGTTGTAAATGGATACAATATCTTCTTATGTATTTATTTTTATGTGGTGCTGAGGACTGTACCCAGTGCTTCACACCTGTGAGACAAGCACTTTACCACTGTGCTACAGCCCAAGCCTGTACCAGTGTTTTGGAAAACAATCTAGCAGTTCCTCAAAAAGTTAACTTGAGCAGGCACAGTGGTGCACACCTGTAATCCCCAGTGGCTAGTGAAACTGAAGCAAGAGGATCACGAGTTCAAAGCCAGCCTGAGCAAAAGTGAGTGCTAAGCAACTCAGGGAAACCCAGTCTCTAGATAAAATATAAAATAAGGCTGGAGTTGTGGCTCAGTTGTCAAGTGCCCCTGAGTTCAACCCCTGGAACCAAAAAAAAAAAAAAAAAAGAGTAAACTTGAGCTGGGGACATTTCCTGTAATCCCAGGTGCTTGGGAGGCTGAAGCAGGAGGATCATAAGTTGGAGAACAGTCTGGAAAACTTAGGGAGACCCTGATTAGAAAAGGCTGGAGATGTATGTAGCTCAATGGTAGAATGCCCCTGGGTTCAGTCCCCAGTACAGTGGGAGGGAGAAAAAAAAGATAAAATTTACCATATGACCAAGCATTTTCTTTAAATCCCAAGAGAATTGAAAATGTGTCCTGGGCTAGAGGCCAGGGTTCAGTCCTCAACACAAAAGAAGGGGTGTGGGATGGAGGGTGGGGTGAAGAAAAGCAAGAAAGAAAAACATGTCTACACAAATACTTGTACATGAATGCTAATAGTTAGCATTGTTCATAATAACCCAAAAAAATTAGGAAACAACTCAGATGTCCATCAACAAATGATTGGAGAAACAAAATAAACTATGTCCATATACTGGAATATCATTCAGACAAGGAAGAAAATTCTGATTTATGCCACTCATGGATGAATCTTAAAATATTGTGCTAAATAAAAGAAGCCAGCTACTAAAGGCCACATGCTATCTCCTGCCAATTTATATAGAATATGCAGAATAGGCCAATCTGTACATGCAGAAAGATTAGGAGTTGCCAGGAGCTGTGGGAAGTGGGGAGTTAATATGTATGAGGTTTGCTTTAAAGTGATTAAAATGTTAAGGAATTAGGCAGGGATAATGATTTTACAATCTTGTTAATATATAAAAACACTAAATATTATGTATACTTTAAAGGGTGAATTTTATAGTATGTGAATTATAATACCCACACGTACTCATAAGCCAGCAAACAAGAATTTTGCTGAGGAAAAGTATACAGGTAGGAAAACATGAAATTTAGGAAATAGAAAACAACTTGCTAAAGTGGCTGGTGCAAATAGTGTATGTTAGAACTAAAGCTGGAAAGGTGGTTGTAGTCAGAAAATGGAAAATCACTAGTAAAGAGTCATTTTAAAGTTTTTAGGTTTTGTTTTTTGATTTTTAAAATTTTTTTGGTACTGAGGATTGAACTCAGGAGCCTCATGTAGGCTAAGCATGTGCTATACCACTGAACTACAAGATTAATGTACCAGTTTTTATCCCAAATAGCTACTAAGAGAAACTGATCTATTCTGTAGGGTGCTCTGTACAGTATGTTGACCACTAGCTTCATGTAAGCTATTGAGCTTTCTTTCCTTCTTCCCACCCTCCCTGTTTCTGTTCTTCCTTTCTCTTCTCTGTCTTTTTGATACTGGGATTATTACCCCTGACTACTATTGAGCTCATGAAATGTATCTGATCAAAATAAGATTTTTAGTGCATAATGTGTTAGTTATACTGTATGATGTGTGCACTGGGTTTTGAAGACTTAATACCCCTAAAATGTAAAATATTTAATTAATACTTTTTTATATGGATTACATTTTGATATAATAATGTATTTTATCTCTTTCTACTTTTTATTGTGGTTTCTAGAAAATATTAAATGTATAACACTCATTTCTTTTTGATTCTACTTCTAATACAGGCCTATTTTTTTTCTTGAATATTGAAATTGTTTCATTTCAGAAAGAAATTTCAAGTTAGGTGTATCCTACAGTTCACTCAGTCTTTAAATCCTCATTTTACATGAAAGAAAAATGAGGTCTAAAGAGGAGAAATACATTTTATCCCAATGGGTTGCTGTAAAAGTATATTAATTCAAGTATCTATGGAGCTCTTGCTCTGCCTCAGCACTGAGTGTACAGAGATAATCAGAAGTAGTCACAGTCCTCAAAATACCTCTAATTCTGGACCTGGGATGTAGCTCAATGGTAGAACCCTTGCCTTTGCATGATTGAGTTCAATCTCCAGTACTGCAAAATAAAAAACAAAAAGCTTTGTCTGATTTTTTTTTTTTTTTTTTTTTTTTTTTTTTTTGGTGATGCTGGGGATTGAACCCAGGTCCTTGTGCATGCGAGGCAAGCACACTACCAACTGAGCTATATCCCAGCCCCTCTCTGATGCTTGAATGAGGAAACTTGTCATGACTCTTTGAGGAAAGGATAAGTATATTATAGATAAAGGATACATATTATATTACATAGATATAATATCTACTGCCAAGATAATTATTTACATTAAGATAATGTTTAGGCGTTACCTATTAATACCTTAAGTTCAGCTTTATTTTACAGTGTGTATATGAATATGCCCCATTCAGAAGTAGTGTTTAGTTTTATATACTTATTATGTATTTGTATATTTTTTTTCTTTTCTTTTTCTTTTTCTTCTTTTTTTTTTACAGGACCCAGGGCAGAGGGCCTTGTTCCTCTTGAATGTGATCCTCCATGTGGGTAGTTAAAACTATTTTACCTGCCCATTGCTTTCTGAAATATCTTAACAGTAGTGGCCAGTACAAGTGCCATCCATACATCTTATTTCACAGCCTTTATGCCATCTCATAGCCTCCTTCCATATAGATCTTTAGGACCAGTGGATACAACATAGTCATTTGTCTATTTTAATTATTAATAAATAGTCAGTCTGTTTCCAATTCTCATTTCCAAATGTGAAAACTACCTAGTTCTGAGAAGACTCTCCTTATTTTGGCTTTAGGTTCAATAGGATTATGACCCTGTGACCTTTTGGCCACTGTATATATAGCTCTTATTGATTGAATTATTTCCTTTTACATAACTAGAATTTGATAAGATATTCCTTGATCTCAAATGCAAACTGAGGAAACAGGGTAATTTCTGGAAAGCATAGACTTCTACAGAGTACTATATAATCTTGCGCATGTTTGGTGTTTAAATTTGAGCTATCAGTCACTAGTTTCAATAAGCTGGAGTTAACTTTCATCTCATGAAAATATACTTTAACATTTATTCGCTTTTAGATAGCCTACTAATCTTTAACTTTAAAAGTTGTACGTTTTCCTCAGTTGAAAAGAAACCATTTGAGATGGGTTCAATGGCACACACTTATAATCCTAGCTACTTGGGAACCTGAGGCAGGAGGATCACAAATTCAAGGCCAGCCTGGGCAACACAGTAAAACCCCTTCTCAAAAAAAGACAGAAACTATTTGCCTTAAATCTTTAGTGTCAATATTGTGAAATGTCTTTGCTGAGGTATGTAATAATAGCATTTGTATGCATTTCCAAATGCCATTTTTAGTATCAGTAATTAAAACCAGTTTTGTTAAAAATTATAATCTGTGACAATATTACTGCCATTAGAGCATTTTCTCTTAGTTTATTTGAATAATAATTTTTTGGAAAACAAATTCGCTATTATGTCTGTAGATTTCAAAGACAATAAATATAATAGTCTCATTTCTGATTGCAGGTTAGATTATTTTTGAATTTTCTCTATATACCTGTTCTAGGTTCTCAGGATAAAACAGTAAAACATGACATTCAGTTCTTGCCCTCATAGAACTCACATTCTAGGGATATTTGTTACTGAAAATAAATGGTTTTGCATATTCATATTCTGTTTCAAAAGTAAAATGTTTTTATTACTAGAACTTTTTCAAGTCTAGCTTTAGTGTGTTTAGGTGGAGTAATTATGCTATGGATTTCTTCATTAATGCATATTTACTTATTAAATTGTAGTTTTACGTCATATTTTGTTAAAATATGAGATAGTATGTTAACATAAGCAGGTTAGAAGCCAAGTGCAGTGGTACATGCCTGTAAGCCCAGCAGTTTGGGAGCTGAGGTGGGAGTATCAAGAGTTCAAACCAGCCTCAGCAACAGCGAGGCACTAAGCAACTCAGTGAGACCCTGTCTCAAAATACAAAATAGGGCTGAGGATGTTGCTCAGTGGTCAAGTGCCCCTGAGTTCAATCCTCACTACCAAAAAAAAAAAAAAAAGCAAAAAAGTTGGAATCCATTATAGCAAATGTTTGTGCATCTACATGTAGTTCACTGTAAGAGGTGCTGTAGATTCAAATAGGGAGTAAGATTTCATCCCTCTCCTCAAGGGGATTACAGTGAAGCTGGGGAAACAGGACACATAGATACAAAAGATAAGTACCTCGTAATTCAGTTCAACAGATATTTATTTATTGAGTGGTTGGAGGCACTAGAATTCATAAGAAGCTATGTTAAGTCAAATGGGCAATTAGTGTGAAAAGTGATGTGGGAGCACAGGATAGGGTGTTCCATTACAAGGTTGTCAGGGAGGCAGCAGGGTAAGAGTTGATTATGTAAGCTTCAAAAAGAAAGACAAGTTGGAGTTAACTAGCTACAAAGAAGTGGCATGGAAAAAGACATGTCACATTGAGAATTGGTGAGACAAGAATGAAGAAAATCATGAAGGACCCCTGGGCCTTACCCTGACCTTTTATGGGAAACCACCAAAGAATTTTAAACATCAGAGAGGGGTCATTAGATTTTCACTTATGGATGCATTGTGGTAATCATAGTTGAAGAAGAGGGCTTATATAGAGTGTCCAGTATGTGCTAAGGGTATTAAGTGTAATTGTAGTGAAAAGCTGCAAAGAACTGAAATGAGGAAAGGGTATTTGATAGCCTTAAAAAAAAAAAAATAAGAGAACCTAGATTGAATGAAGAAAGTGGAAAGCCCTATTAAACAGTTCGCAGCATATTCCTGGTATACATGGGTTGAGCAGTGGATTCCTAAGAAAGGCTTAATTAGTGGAGGCGGTTGAGTACTTGACTCATGGCAAGTCACTGTTTCAAAACAAGATGTCATATCTGCAGGGTTTTGTTATAGACTCTGACTTTGGTGACAGCACTCAGGAGAGCCAGAGTGGTTAGGGGCAGGAGTGGAGCATATTAGTTAGGATTTAGGAACACTAATTTTACCTGAATCTTAATGCATCTGATCTTGGTTTCAGTATTTTAAATGCATTAATTTATTATCTTATTTTTAACATTTTAAAACTTTTTTGTACTAGTTTATCTTTTTCCTAACATTTTAAATGCTTTTATGTGAAACATTCTGAGGACTGTAAACAAACTTAGTGTTTCACAAGATCTCGTTGAACTCTATTTTCTTGTTCTTTGAGAAATTCTGACCCCAAACAATATTAAGAAGTCTGCATATAGCCATTTGTTGCATGTCCCCTTAGGATACCCAGGTAGTGTTTATCAAATACATAAATAGAAAAACTTAAAAATAGTTTGAACCAAAAGAAGAAAATCTATAGTTCATCTTCAAGAGTCACTATTAACATGTCAGTTATATATTCTAGATTATTTTCTACATGTGTATGCACATACACATACATTTGTAACCAAAAGGGAGCCATATTTTATAAATATTTTGTAATTTATGACCGTCTTTCCAAGCTAATAAATAAGTTATCTTCTGAATATAGATTGGTGGGATAGTTGAGTGAGGACACAACCCAAATATCAAAATCTTACTGAATAATTAAATTTTACTACCCTCCTATTTTTGTCAGCTTCAGTATCAGATACAGCACAGCAGCCATCTGAAGAGCAAAGCAAATCTCTTGAAAAACCAAAACAAAAAAAGAACCGCTGTTTCATGTGCAGGAAGAAAGTGGGACTTACCGGTAAGGACCTAAACCAAATGGTTTTTAATTATGTTTTTAAATAATACATGTCTTATTATTACTAACTTCAATTAAGATTATTTCTATTCCCAGGAGAGTTTCCATTAAATGTACTTCAGCTTATGAATTTTCTTAAAGAAATAAAAATAGCTTTAATTATGCACCTGAAAGTAAAATGAATAGCTTTTCCTTTAAAAATTCATTCCAGCTGAATTTGAGAGTATTAGACAAGTAATTCCAATATGCCAGGGGCTATGAAAAGGCTAACATGTAGTTCTGTCTTCAAGGAGAGGATATTTTAAAGTATGTGGTGAACCATGAAGTGCTTCCTATATGTAAAATGGGGCTAATCATAAGTTGTGGTGCAGGTTCAGTGAGTTGAGACATGTAAGTAATTAACTTAGTGGGTGCCACACAATGTGTAATCAATATATGTTGGCTACTATAACAACATATCAGTACTGTTGAGAGAGGGAGAATAAAATGTTCCAAACTGTTTAGCAAAGAACATTACATTAAGTTCAGTCAGATTGCCACTGGGAAGTCAGAAGACAGGAGTACTGCAATTAATTTTTATAAAAGGAGTAAAGACCTGGCAAGGAAAGTATCATGAAGATAGGCTGTTGCCCCTGGGTCTGGAACTATGAGTAGGAATTATACGTGATGGGAATAGGAACATTTCAGGCAGAAAGAAATATTTGAACTAAATCCCCAAGAAGCAATATAGAGGCCTGTTCAGGGACTGTGAATTGGGGAACATAACCATAGTACAGGGACTGTGAATTGGGGAACATAACCATAGTACAGGATCTGTGAAGAAGGGTATTGAATATCGAGACAAGATAGAGCTAAAGATTAAGGTTTCTACTGGGGTTAATTAGAAACTGGTTACAGCTATAAGTACGTTTATTGTTTACCATGGATAGGCATTATGCTGAACACTTTACATGAAATTCTGACTTATGGACCGAGATAAGATATTGAGTAAAAATTATGCTTTAGGAAGATTACTTCTGGCTAAGGAATGGATTAGAGACAATGAAGAAAGATTAGAGTCTGATCAGAGGTGTTTTAAACTGCCTCATACCTTAGCAAATAATGTATTTATTTAAAGACTACAACATAGATAAGAAATTCTAAAATATATTATCAAATAGGATCTTTTAAAATCTTGTCCTCTCTCAGACTTCATGATTACAAAGCTGAGACTTCATAATTTCTTTCTTGTCCAAACTGTCAGTCTAACCTAGTGTTGTTTGCTTCATTTCTCTTTCATTATTTGAAGTTACAGAATGTTTCTGAAGTAAAAAATGTGATGAAAGAAATTAATGTCAAATGTCAGTGTTTAAAATATTGATTCCTATGCTCCATTACAAAAATTCCATCATAACATAAAATCCTAATTTGGGGGAGCAAGACTGTCCACACATGTCAGTCTCTATTTTGATTTCAATTCTTGGGCATTTCCCTAAAAATAAGTGCAATTATTGCATGTTTTCCATATGTTAAGCACCTGATCCATTCCTCATTTAATCCTTACAGTACCTTATTGTTCCAAAATTACAGATGCAGAAACTGAGGCCCAGAGAGGCTAAGTAATTTGCCTACGTTAGTAAGTAGATTGATACTTAGGCAACCTAACTCTGGATCCCATGCTTTTAATCACTCCACTCTAGTATAGTTCACATCTCCACCTGAGGTTAGCAAAAGAAGGCTATTTTGGATACTGTGTTCTTTGTTAACAGTTCTCTCAGAGATTTTTATTTTATCTTTCTTAATTAAATGTTAAGAGTGGTTTCTTGAATAGGCTTATTTTCACATTGCAGTATTTGAGTTTTTAAAAATATTCCACTTTGCTGGGTGTGGTAGCACACACCGATAATCCCAGACTCCCAGAAATTAGGGAGACTGAGGCAAGAGGTTTGAAAGTTCAAGGACAGCCTCAGCAAAATAGCAAAGCCCTAAGTAAATAGAAGACTCTCTCAAAAACTGAAAAAGGCTGGGCCCAGTGGCAAATGCCTGTAATCCCAGCAACCTGAGAAGCTGGAGTAGGAGGATCACTAGTCGGAAGCCAGCACCAGCAATTTAGCAAGGCCCTAAGCAATTTAGTGAGACCCTGTTTCAAAATGTAAAGGGTTGGGCATGTAGTTCAGTGGTAGAGCATCCCTGGGTTCATCCCTAGTACCACATTTTTTTTTGTTTGTTTGTTTTAATAGTTTAAAAGTAAAATTAGGGGCTGGGATTGTAGCTCAGTGGTAGAGCACTTGCCTTCCACATGTGAGGCACTGGGTTTGATCCTCAGCTCCACATAAAAATAAATAAACAAAATAAAGGTCTACAACTAAAAAGATATATAAAAAAAAGTAAAATTAAAAATTTTAACATTTTCAATTTAGAAAACATATTTTGATAAGGAAGTAACACTGATCATGTCACAAGTGAAGAAACTTGAACTCAGAGAAGTGTTTATGATCTGATCCTAGTCCAAACCTATATTTATAGATAGGACCAAGAAGTGAAGCTCTCAGCTAGTGAACTCTGAGAACGTAGTTCGTGAAACCATTTTTGTAGAATGTTTAGATTACTGCCCTAAATACATGATGCTATTTAATATTAATTATGCCAAAGAACTTAATATTTCACCTTCCATCCTGCTCATTTATGTGTATTAATCCATTTTTAGGGTTTGAATGCCGGTGTGGAAATGTTTACTGTGGTGTGCACCGTTACTCAGATGTACACAATTGCTCTTACAATTACAAAGCTGATGCTGCTGAGAAAATCAGAAAAGAAAATCCAGTAGTTGTTGGTGAAAAGATCCAGAAGATTTGAACTCCTGCTGGAATACAAAATCCTTTGACCATCTGCAAACTAAAAATTGACTTGAGGTTTTTTTTTCCTAGTCATTGGGAATGTAGAGCAATGTATCTTGCATAGACCTTTTAATCATGCATGTCATCAGAAGAATAGATTTTTGTTTTTGTTTTGAAAATGACTCTGAACATTTATTTCCATTGCAGTTTCTGTGGCTGAAGAGACTTAAACTTTACAAGTATTATCCTTTTAAGATCATTTTAATTTTAGTTGAGTGCAGAGGGCTTTTATAACAAACGTGGAGAAATTTTGGAGGGCTGTGATTTTTCCAGTATTAAACATGCATGCATTAATCTTGCAGTTTATTTTCTCATTGTGTATGTATATATAGCTTTTCTCTGCAGCACGATTTCTCTTTTGATAATGCCCTATTGGGCACAACTAGTTACCAGTAACTGAATGTATCTTAATCAATATGGCTGCTTCTGTTTTTTCATTAACAAAGGTTATACATATGTTAGCATATAGTTTCTTTGCACCCACTATTTATGTCTGAATCATTTGTCACAGGAGAGTATGTGCTGATGAGATTCCAAGTTTGTGTGTTTTTAATTTTTTTTTTTTTTTTTGCGTGAGGGAAGAAAAAAGCTGTATGCATTTCATTGCTGACTGCAGGTTTCTTTCAGATTAAGTTCATTGGTCTGTGTGTATACAATATGAAGAATGATCTGAAGTAATTGTGCTGTATTTATGTTTATCCACCAGTCTTTGATTAAATAAAAAGGAAAACCAGAATGCTCTTTTGTATTACTTTTTCTCTTACTCTTTCTAATAGTTAATTTTGTCTTTTTAATCTTACTGTTTTTCTAAGCGTACTACTATTATTTGTCTCATATAGATTTATTGGCTAATCTTATGATGATAAATTTTAATTATTTTTTTTTTTTTTTTTGGTACTGAGGATTGAACCCAGCCAGGGGCACTAAAACCCACTGAGTCACATCCCCAGCCCTTTTTTAATATTTTATTTAGAGACAGGGTCTCACTGAGTTACTTAGGGCCTCCCTAAATTGCTGAGGCTGGCTTTGAACCCACAATCCTCCTGCCTCAGCCTCCTGAGCCACTGAGATTACAAGCATACTCCACCGCACCCGGCTAAAATCTCAGCATTTTTTCAAAGCCAAGAATTACTTTCTGTCACTTAGATGTGAGATTTTCTAACCCTTGTCAGAGTTTTCTGTTCTGCACTCTGTCACAGTGAATTAACATTTAGTATATGCTGTTTTTTGGTAGGATTAGTGAAATGGAAAAAGCACAATTCAAACAACAGGGCAGTTGGAGAATTGTGAGTAGAAGACCCTCAAAAAACAATTTTTTCCTATGGTGGTTTCCATATTTAGCAGCCAACCTTTTTTAAGCATATGAAATACTACGTTAAAAAAAAAGTTGAACAGATGAAGATAGTGGTTAACAATACAAATTTCTCAGTTTAAAATTATTTGCTATTTTACTTACATGTTCTATTCACCTACATAAGGATGGTTTAATGTTTAAATCTATAAATTTAAATGATCACATTAACAGAATAAAATGAGAGGAAGCCACTGTGACTGTCTTAATACATTCAAATATAAAGTATTTAATAGAGTTAAACACCCATTCATGATTAACAAAATTTCTTGATAAATCTAGAAGGGAAATTCTCTAATAGCTTCTACATAAAACCAACCAAAGAAAAACCACTCAGGGGCTGGAACTGTGGCTCAGTGGTAGAGCGCTCACCTAGCACATGCGAGACGCTGGGTTCAATCCTTAGCACCACATAAAAATTAAAAAAATAAAATAAAATAAAACAAAGGTATTGTGTCCAACTACAACTAAAAAAAAAAGAAAAACCTCTCAGAACCAAAAAGAGAAAAGTCGTTTCCTTTTAAAGTCAAAAACAGACTGTAGGTGTAGCTGAAGCATTTGCTAACATGCTTGAGGCCCTGGGTTCTATCCCCAGTACTGGGAGAAAATTATATTTTTCTTTCAGAAACAAATGAAGGCTGCCCCTCTCGTGGCTTATATTTAATTTTGTGTTGGAGAGCCCAACCAATGGAACAAGACAAATAGTCAAAAGAAGAAAGGAAGCACCCATCATTTGCCTGTTACATGATTCGGGTGTGTTTTTGTTTTTGTAGTACTGGGGATTGACCCTATGAACACTGCCACTGAGCTGCTCCTCGGTCCTTATTAATTTATTCGTTGGTTAGTTGGTTTATTGATTTAAATTTTGAGACAGGGTCTCTAAGTTGCCCAGGCTGGCCTTGAATTTGGCAATCCTCCAGCCTCAGTCTCCTGCGTAGCAGGGATTGCAGGTGTGTGCTGCTGCACCCAACTACATAATTGTTTTTATAGAAAATACAAATCTGGAAATAAATTACTAGAAATAATACTGTCTAGTTATCTAAATATAACATTAATTTTTAAAGAAATATTTTTTAGTTATATGTGGACACAATATCTTTCCTTTTTATGTGGTGCTGAGGATCACGCATGGTAGGCAAGCTCTCTACCTCTGAGCCACAAGCCCAGCCCAAATACAACATTCATTTTTAGAAGTCACTTGGATTTCTTTATACTTATTAGAAAAACAGAAGATACCATTTACTAATAGCATCAGTGTAGTACCAATTACCTTGGACATTGACAATATATGCTGATCTAAATGATTCTAAAACATTGAGATAAATAAAATTTCAATAAATCCACATGTTCATGGATAGAAAGGCAATAAAAAGATGTCAGTCATTCCAAACACACCCATAAACTCAAAGCCATTCCCATTAAAATCCAACCAAAGTTTAAGATTTTGGGGGGGAAAGTACACTGGGGATTTAACCCAAGGACACTTTACAACTGAGCTATATCCCTAGTCCTTTTTCATTTTGAAATAGGGTCTTGCTAAATTGCCGAGGCTGGCTTCAGACTTACCATCCTCTATCCTCTAACTCCTGGGTCACTGGGATTACAGGTATTCTCAATTGTGCCTAGCCCCACCAGATTGTGTCATGAAACTTATTTAAGTGATTCTAAAGTAAGGTAAAAGAATAAATTGGGGGATGGGGCTCATTGGTAGAGCACTCGCCTGGCACACATGAGGCACTGGGTTTGATCCTCAGCACCACATAAAAATAAAAGGAATTGTGTCCACCTACAACTAAAAAAATACATATTTTTTTTAAAAAGTACAATAGACCTAAAAAACAACACAAAAAAAGAATAAATGGTTAGGGTATTTCAAAAAAGCAGCGAGGTTAGGACTTGGCCTGCCAAATGTCAGGACTCACTGTGAAACCATATTAATTAAAACAGCAGTTACTAGTAAAGAGACATAGTCTGGCATTTTCTAGTATTGGAAGGTTTCCATGTGATCTTTGTATTACTTATGTTGATGAAAAGTGGTTCAGTCCTTCAGAAAGCTTGGCATTATCTTTTAAAGTTGGCTTTTAGCACATCCTATAATTCAGAAACTTCATTATATACCCAAGAATAACTTGCACATAGATTAAACAGGAGACATGAACTGGGAAGAATTCTCATAACACCATGTACAAAAACAGAAACCCAGAAATTACCCAAGCCCTCAATGAGGAAGAGCTGAACGAATAAAACATGACATAGTTATACAATGGACTATCACATAGCACCCAAAACTAATGATCCATACTGACACAAAAGATATAATGACACAACAAAACAAAAATATGGTAAACAAAAGCAAAAATGAAGTGTCTTAAAAATACAGTAAGGCTGGGTGCAGTGGAACACACCTGTAATCCCAGCATCTTAGGAGGCTGAGGTAGGAGGATTGTGAGTTCAAAGCCAGCCTCACCAGCGAGGCATTTAGCAACTCAGGGTCTCTGAGACCCTATCTCTAAATAAAATATTTTTTAAAAGACTGGGGATATGGCTCAATGGTTGAGTGCCCGAGTTCAATCCTGGGTACTAAAAAAAAAGTATAATAAGAATTAACAACCAACGGACAAAATATTCCCTTATAGAAAGGTTGGAGGTAGGGCTGGGGATATAGCACAGTTGGCAGAGTCCTGCCTCTCATGCACAAGGCCCTGTCAAACCAAAAGAAAAACGTTGGAAGTATAACTCAGTGATAAAGTACCACCACCACCAAAAGAAAAACGTTGGAAGTATAATTCAATGATAAAGTACATAGCACGTGTGTGGTCCTTGGTTCAATCCCCAACACCCCACAGGAAAAGTTAGAAAATACATTTTCAAGTAACAGATGAAATTTATATCAAAAGAAGAGGTAGTGGTGAAAACTGTCAATATCCTCAGGTGGAAGGCAGCAAGGGATGGGCTAGCAAATGGGAACTTTATGGGAATGATAGCCTCAGTATACTCAGACAACTAACAACAGGCACTCTGTGCAGAGAATGTCATGAACCAAGGATTATGATTAATCCATTCTCTACCTTAATTCCAAAGTATTAAAAAGTTAGTTATAAAGCTGATTTGATGACCACATTTGAAATTGGAGTTTATGCATGAAACTGCTGTAGAATCAGCCTCAATATTCAATTTGTTTTTCTGTGTCCAAGTCTAGCACAAAAATGTCTTTCCCCTAACATGAACTGCATAGTGCAATCTTGAAATTATTCCTTTATTCCAAGCATATGATATGAAAGCCATTTTTTTCCTGATGTGGAGACAGTTTATATGTATCTGATAATGGCTAAACTACCCTTTTTTAAGTCTGTAAGAAACATCCAAACAGATACGCTAGAGAATTTAAGAAAGTCCTAAGTATTTGTTGTAGCATCTTTTCAGAGACTGGCTTCCTATTTTTTTTTTTTGTCCCTTCTTATTAATATGTAAGCATCAAGATTAATTCAGAAGGCCAGTAGAATGGAAAGTTAGTTAGGAATATGGAGATGAGATGGATAAAATCTAACAAAAGACTTTTAGCAACATCAGGAAATCTTTTGGCATCCCAAAAGACCACTAACATACTTATAATATCAAAAAGTGACTACCAGAAAAGAAAAAGGGGCCATTACTGCTGATCCCAGGGACATTAAAAGATAGTAAAGAAATACTATGAGCAACTCTATACCCACAGATTTGATAAGTTAGATAAAATGGATCAATTCCTTTGAAAGGCAAAATTACCAAAAGTAGTACAAAGAGAAATTATCTTTGCAGGCTTGTGTCTATGAATCACACGGAGTATGGTGGCACATGCCTAGAATTCCAGAGACTAGGTAGGCTGAGGCAGGAGGATGACAAATTCCAAGGCCTAATTTGGCAAGACCCTGTCTTGAAATTTTAAAAAGGGTTGGAATTGTGTGACTCAATAGTAAAGCACCCCAAGATTTGATCCCAGCACCCCACCCACAAAAAAAGAAGAAAAAAGAAATTCAATCAATGGATTACATACCAGAAAAAAAGAAAGGCCTTGGTGAATTCTACCAAACACTTCAGATAGAAATTATACTAATTTTTCTACATTCTCTTCCAGAAGGTAGAAGCAGAGAAAATACTTCTTAAATTGTTCGGTGAGGCCAGCATCATCCCAATACTAAAACCAGACAAAGACATTACAAGATAATAAATCTGTGATGAGGAAACTACATAGTCTCTCCCTCTGAGACTGAGAACAAGGCAAATATGTCCCCTCTCACCAGTCCTATTCCTCATTGTACTAAAATTCTCAGCTAATAAGGAAAGAAAAGCTGAACAGACTGGTGAGAAAGAAAAAAAGCTGTCTTCATTTGCAAATGGCATATTGT